GGGGGGGGGGGGGCGGAAAAAATCCAACAGATTTTTCCATAAAAACTGAAGAAAACGTTTCTAAAAAATCTAGCTCTTTGTTAGCATGACAGTATAATGCTAAGGAAACAATGAACCAGATTTATTGCCAAGGTAGGGATCTTAAAAATCCCTAGTTCCAGGAACAGATTAAATTACTTTCTAGTTCAAAGGCCTTTAAGACCTTTAAAAATGGTGCTTTGAAAAACACTACAGACAACCCAAAATAAGGGATAATACCTACATTTGAACACAAATTGCACTGAAATTTTCTTTTTTCAAGAAGTTTTAACAAACCAACTGACTAACAGCTGAGGCAGTTGAGCCACTTCTGACGTAGAGGGTAGTTTACCCAAATAACTACCGCTATCGGAAAATAAACGGTTGTTCTTTCTTAACAGGGAGTTACTCTGGGGATTAAAAACATGGAGGAAACTAATGGGATATCATGTGTGTGAAGGACAGAGACACAAAGATTAACATTAATCTACTCTACAGGGCACCACCCTGCCCTGCCATCTGCCTAACTTCAGGCCACCATGGCTAACTCTCTAAAGTAGTTAACTATTCCACTTCTCTTGTGTAGAGAGAGAAATTATTTCTTACTGAAATAATTTTAGATGATCAGTGAGAAGTTCTCCATCAATGTTTTTCAAATATTTTTATATTAAATATATATATTTTTAAAAGTAAACCAGGAGTAACAAAACTCAAATTCCCTTAAGGGTGATGATACTGTAACAGAATCTGCATTTAGCATGGTTTAAAATCCATCCAAAACAAAAGCATACAGGTGTTTTTAATCTATGTGTGTACATGGTTATAATTTAGAGGGTTGGAGAAAAGGAAAGATCCTGGGGAATTGGTTCCCACTGCAAACTACAGACTACAATATTGTTTACTCCAGGTGAGGGCTGAAAAGGGACAGAAGGATCGATTCAGGGTACTGGATTATAAACAATTCACCTTGGGAATATATTGCATATCAGGTGCTCTGCAGAAACTACCCACGTGCATGCTCTTACCCTGTGGTAACTTATCTTTCTTGTGCTGAGGGCTAAACTGCATGCAGGTTAAGAACACACCAACCACCAGCTGCTGCAGAGCAGTTTATATGCAATAAAGATCCATCTACCTTTATCCTACAGTAAGCTGTCTGGGTGTCTACTACCCCAAGGCTGATTAGGAACAGTAGCATTCCCACCAGTCAAACAGCTTGTAAAGTTGGCAAAGAGAACGTATTGCTTTGCAGCCTCCTGCTGCTAAGGGCTGGCTCTGTTACCCTCCTGAGCATACAAGATGCTGCTCTCTAGAACTGGCCCAACTCTCAGCCTGCTTTCTCCGCCACAGTCTGCTTGCAAGTAAAGGGTACAGAGGAGTGAGCCAGGCTTGGGATGAAGGACTGAGGAGGAACACATGGTCAATTAAGGAATTTGGGGAGGAGTTTTTTGTAAGGAGGGAAAAAGTGGACAAAGGCAGGAAAATGAGGAGGGAGAAGTGTTTACACCCCCCCCATCCACCCATCAATAAGGCTCTGGAAGGGAGCTTAGCAGTTGGGACCACAGACTGGGACGACTTATAAAAACTGAGGCTCACTGCCCTCAACCCAGTCCCAACTGTGCAAGATCAGTAACTCTACTGTGCGCACACAGGTTATCAATATCAGCAGGTTTTTCCACCGATCCCCATGCCAGTCTCATTTTCTTGATTTAAACATTAACATGAAAGTTGGTTAGATAACAGTACTGTATTTTAAACTACTTAGGACTGTCACAACCATTTGTTTCTGTACCTAAACAGTTCTTAACTGCAAGAGTTTAACTATGTAAGACCAAGAGGTGTACCACCTCAAGTGAACGAATGGGAACATGAGTGTTGGAGAAACCCCTTAGCATTGTGGTTTACTGTGAAAGAAATGAAGGAGAAAGCATTATCTTGGTAATGCTATGAAAAGGGCTTGTTTTCTAAATTGTCTCAGCATCTATTTACCAGATCATAAGACTTACAGAGTAGTAATTAATAGCTTTTTTTGCTTCCCATCACAAATCAAAGAATTCATAGTATTTACTTGAAATATCAATGGTTCCATTTTAGATAAGAGCTCTATACCGCCATTAATCCCATGGAGACATTGAACCATTGGATTTTTTTGCATTAAAACATTTTTCAATTGTGGAGCCCTTTTTTGTGCATAAACACCCTATAAAATAGTTCTAAATGTTTGCTTTTAATTACAGGGCAATCCTAATCTTGCCCATTATATTCGTTGCTAGACAATTTCCCAGGGTGGGGAAAGGGCAAATGTTCAACATATAATTTAAAAAGAGACAGAGCACACCTTTCTACATCTTTTCTAAGAAAACAGATATAAATGCAAACAAATGTTTGATTCTGGCTGTTCACCTGCACAAGCAAGTCATTTAGCTCAAAACAGTCCATGACTGCAAAGCACAGAAGCTTACTTGAGTTTTGAGAATAAAGAGGCCCGCCATTAACATGAGGTTGAGCAGAAAATGGGACGGTCACAGAGGGATTCCGTCTGTATCCACCAGAAGATGCTGAGGAAGTGGTAGAGTTGTGTCGCGAAATTTGCCTGGTCATTGTGCCATACTGGGAACCAGGAGCTGAACCAGGAGCAGCTGAAAAAGCATTAGCCAAAAGGAACCAACGAGAAGACTTAAGCCACGTATTACATTGGACAGAAAGCAGAACACAGAAAAAAGCCCCAGAATGTGACAAATACCTGAAACCAGGACTCCAGCAGGGTAAGGCCAGTAGGAGGTGATCAACAAGAGACAGAAAACACCCAGTTCTACAATATTATGATACCAGCCACATAAACTATCTATCTATGATATAAAAAGCTACTAAAATGTTGCCTTCTGAAATGTTGATCACTACACAGATAAGTTACATAAATTAGCAAAGCTGTAATACCTTTCATTAAAGAAAAAGACAGGTAAATACCGTGAAAAGATTACATATCCTGTTGAAAGCAAAAGTTTTGGAGGCAAGATTGTTTCAGAATGCAATCTTTTTAAAAGGAAAAACCTATAAAAAGATGTTTTTTAACAAAAAGAAGGAAACACTTGCCACTGCAGAAACATGTTTAGTCATGGCTCACACAAGCACCAGGTTATGATTTTTGGACATTATTCTTATTTACTATTTCTACCATTTGTTAACTGTGCTTTCATAGAGGGAACCTGCATTAACAAATTTGAATCAACGTACACATACAAAATGTGTCAGCAGCAATTTTACCAATCACACAGCTGATGTACAATTCATTATTAATCTGAAACAAAAGAATAACTGCTCAGTCTTTCTTTCCTTTTTGCTGTTTCATTTTTCTGTCACAGAGGCTAAAGAATTTCACTCCATGCAAACCAATGAACCTCAAATTTAACTCTTACTTGTCAATGCACAGGTCCCTTCTAGCTTTCAAGCATAGTAACATTTTGCAGAAAAATCATTGTGTGCATATATGCCCAAGAAGTGCATTCAGAAATTTACAGACTAATTAAATATTATTTGAAGATGATTTAACACTTCAGGTAAGAGAAAATGGTCAAGGATTATACAAGTCAAAGCCTCCAAAGTCTGTTTCATGGCAAGAAAATGACTTCTGACAACTGCCATGCTGTGGAGCACTTCTTGTACAGCTTGAAGAGACCAATCTGAAATTCCTGAAGTCTCCCAGTTTCATATCTCCACATAGCATTACTGAATTGTATCCAAATCAGTAGACTAGACACTTCTGCTCTTCCTTCTGTTTTCATTCATACTGGTCCACAAGAGAAATCCCAGTATAGATCCTCCCTCCCATATTAATTATTGCTTTACATTAATGTACATCATTACTGTCTTGTTTTTTCAAAGTCAGGAAAGCAAGGAGAAGACCTGCACACAGACCAAATTCATATTGCTGCAGATCAGATCAGCTTCACTGGGAATATTAGGGTTCTAAGTAACTAATGCATTACACTTTTTCCATATGCATGTACCTTCAGAGGCTTTCACCAGAGGAATTAGTTGAGATTAGTGGATCTTTGTACCAAAACCATGTACACCCCATTAACAAGGAGGCAGACAGCTTCTATGTATCCATTAGGAGGAGTTTATTATTGATTATGCTAAATAACCACAATCACTTCAGGGCTGACTAAGTCTCACCTATCATACTGCCCATCGGGAGAGGTGGTGGTGGCAGTGGTGGTGCTGGCGGGGCTCCAGGAGGAGGAGGAACAGAAATGTGCACTAATAAAATAGTTCATATTGCCAGTTAGGCTAGGAATAAAAAGCTGCATGTTTAACAAACAAGAAATCAGAAACTCTCCAGTGCCTGATACAAAATTTGAGCCCTGGCCCTACGGTAAGTTGCATACTTACAAGCTTTTACTTATTTATGGAATCCTTCGACTTTCTTAAAGCAAAACCACAGAAAAGAGAACTGCACATTACATGGACCCCACTGCAGGATCGGGAACCTAAAGTAGGCCTTAAGTTTTTGTAAAAAAAGGGAACGTGTGATCTGCTCCTTTGTTTACAAAGGATTCCAATGGCAAATTTCCACCTGAGTGTGAAAACATGAAGTTTGACCACCACCATCTTTTAGTCTGTATTTTTAGTTTGGACTATCACTTCCTCACCCAAGACAGCTTAACATGTTTACAGAATAAACATTCACTAAGCCTGCAATCATGGCTTTCCTCTATCTTGCTATATTGACTAACAACCAAGTACTGTACTTCCTCAAACCTAAGACAATTCTCTCACTGAACAGCATGTATCTAGAGTAGTTTAGAAACATCGAAAGCTGCATTTATGCAGAGGGTTGGCCTAGGGTCCCTCTCCTCCCTTTAACTCTATGGTTCTGCACTTCTAATCAAACAGTAGAGTTGTGCTCTTGATACCTAAGGTCCTACACTGCCAGTTCCTATGCAATTTTTAGGGTATTGAGCAATGACAGTTCTTACACTTTGATTTATTTTTGGCTTTAAAAAAAATCACATTAGTGAATGATGTTAAATTTTATAATTGGTGTTTTGTTTATTCCTAGGTTGTCTTCCCACCTTTTTCAGGTGTTAAAACAAAATAACTGTTCTTTTGATTAAATTTTTAGTGCACACAATAATAATAAAACTATCAGGCTATTTCAAAAGATCTATCGAATGAAACGCATACAATACAGTTTCTTTTCTTTTTTTTTCGGGGCAATTACAAATGACAACTTGTCCATAAGCATTGTAAAAGAACTGATTTAATCTGGTACCTCTCAACAAGGGAAAAATCCTTTACTTCTTTAGAATCACTTAGCATTAACACTCTATAAAACAAAGAGCTTACCTAAGTGCTTTAACCATTTTAAATGATTGATTATTTTGGGAATATTTTTCCCCAAGAGATTAAGACTTCAGATTGCTCATGATAGGCTTTCATGGGACAAACTCTGTAACTAGGGTTCTATGTGTTTCAGCACAATTTCAAAGCCATTGAACAGACAAAAGGGTCCATTTGGAAACATCCAAATGAGCCACAGTAACACATGAGGTAATATAAAAAGAATCTCATACCTGGGCCAATAGTTGGTGGTGAAGGTGTAGGCACGGCAATGGGAATGCCAATACTGCTGCTTCCGCTATTCTCTCGGCTACCACTTCCGCCACTACTACCACTTAAATAAAAACCACATACACAAGCGTCATCATAGTTGTCCACAAAGATGTACAAACATTCGTTTTATGTACCTAAACAGTGACAGATTAAAACTGGCTCAATTTTAAACATTGTTGAAAAGAATAAAAGCCCTGTAAATTGACTGTATTTGCAGTCCCTACTCAGATAATCAACTCAGAATCCATTAAATTCTAGCAGTGGTAGATGCAATTAGCTAAGCTGTTACACTTTTCCATAGTCATGTTTTACTTAAATATTGTGTTAACTAAAAATGTAAGCACCCATTTAAGATCTAGACAACCAAGTCTTAATATGAATACAGTAACACTGCCAGGTGCTCCAAATTAAAGATGAGAAATGGGGTGTTAAATGGGTCAAGCATAAACTATCTGCAATTCCTGGAATGTGTGCTACAGGCTTAAAATGTCTTCCTTTTACTAAATGAATATGTGAGTCCAAGTTTAGAGTCGTTAGCAGTTTTACTACAAGAAAGACCAACAATAAAGGCAAAACATAAGTTCTGGTATAAACCATGTCCTCCTCTCCTCCTCTTTTCCTTAGATCCCGCAATCTACAATATTTTCAGCGTTGCTATTGTGTGCTATTCGCTTCTCAATCATGTTTAAGAACAACTCTAAAGTAATATCACAATTAAAGGCCAAGTATTTATACCTAATGTAACTTGAAGAAATCATACAATATTTTTCATGTAAGCCTCTTAAAAGGCCATTCCAACTAAATGGAAAGTAGGGAACTGAATATGACTCCAAGGACAAAATTCAATAAATATGCCATCAGCCAAGGCCTGAATCTATTGAGATTCAGAGGAGAGGAGAGGAGAGAATTAAACAACCAAATGCCCTATAACTTAAAAGCCATTTCCACAGATTCATGCTAATTAAAATATAGCAGCACTCAATCCACTTTATTTACCATTTCTGTGCAACCATACATCAATGCTGCTGAAGAGTCAGGTACAAATCATTCAAATATGTCTTAAGAAAATAACACTGCTATAAAAAGAAAAGTGGTGATCTGAACCGGGAGCCAAGATAATTCCTTCAAAATTAGTGTTCTGACTGCTGAAGACCTTGATCTTGTCACCATGGTTGCAGCTGAATTTCTAGCTGCAGTCTACGTAAAAGATCTTGTGAGACAAGAATGGAGACTTCACAGTAGCTGGCTAAGATTTAAAAGGTCTTCACCGCATACTGATTCAGAAATTATTTTATTTTGACGCGTTTCATAGCTGACAGCAAGTTGTCTCATACATAGAACAATTGTTTTTCCAAGGTCCAAAAGGACTCTCTGAATCCCAGAACTATTATTATGCTTTTTAAAACATCATATTGTTTAAATAACTAAACACCAATCCTTTCTTTAGCTATTCCAAGGACAATAAAACTATCTGCATTCCTCTATAGTATGGGGCATGGTCCCCTTTCTCTGAACATAAAAATCAATCGATTACTTCTCTGCCATTGCTCTAGGAGGGTATTGATAGTGCCCACATTATGTCCACTTTATACACTGCCCTGTGCAGGTCCTTTCACAGCATCTGATTAAGGGAGCTTGTGCTCCTATATGTTTATGCGATACAGGTTTCCCTCGCTTTATGTGGGTTCTGTATGTGCAAATTTACTCTTATGCAATGACCCTTTTTATACCAAAAAATTGTTATATGTGAGGTAAATTCACTCTTTTGTGATTGGTGTGATGGAAGTCCTCAGTCAGCTGCTTTGTGTGGTGCATTGTGGGAGTGCAAAATAGAGTCTCCTGTGTGGAGCTGTGCTTCTCGCTTGTTGTCTGTGACACATGTTTCTGTAGTTGCCATCACCATTATAGTAACATTCACCACCACCCTGTGCTTGTGTGTACTGTCTGCCACTGGTAAGTACCAAAATCTTCTTGTAAAAGCGGTAGAAATGGGTCTGGGGGTCAGTACAGTCAAGGTCTTGGAATATATCCCTATTTCTTATATTGTACAGTGGGTTCCCCTTATGCGAATTTGAGTTATGCACCGTTTTCCAGGAACACATGTACAGCATAAAGCAAGGAAAACCTGTATATCTGATTTACCTAGTCTATAATGGTGAAAATCAACCCTGCCTTCTGTATACATTTGAAAAACTGAAACACATTCTAGAGTCAATACATTCAGAGGTACCAAATCTGGACAGCAAGGTATTTTAAAACTACATCTTTCTTATGTGGCATATGTTCCCAACCTCTGAAGGATCCAGGTATAAAGCTCTTCTACCACCCCAATGAACCAGACCAAAAACAGGTACAGAATCAGCAGCAGCATATTCTACCTGTGGGTTCTTGGTCTCTGGTTCAAGGAAGCTGTTCTTCCTGGACTGTGCTGACTTCCAAGTCTGGCAGGACTGGTCATATAATCATTAGGAACGGTTGGAGGCTTGACTGGCTCCAGGGTTTTGTAAGGAGTATTTCGTCTGGTCAAAGAAAAAGGGGATGGGAAAGAGAAAGAGAAAGGGTCAAGAGGTAGAACAGATAAGTCCTTTGATTAAAAGTAATCAAGCCATTTGTTTTCCTAAACCTTCATAAACAATCACTGTACAGTGACCCACATTACCATAAAAAAAATATACCTCTACAAGCATAAAGGAAAATGGGTGTTCTGTTCTCAACATACTAGTGTTGCATATTTACAAAGGCATGATTAAAGTTAAATTTAGTCTCATTTCAAAAGTTAAATAACATTTTAATGTTGAGTATATTAAATAAAACCATAGAAAAAGTATCTTGAAAATGATTTGGTACTGCAAGACTAAGTTATACATACCTTTAAAACACACAAATTAAAAATATACCTGAATTTATGGTCACAAAATACTCCAGAGGTTAACAGTTGTGTAAACTCCAGCATGTACACAACCTTACAATTGTGCCTGCCAACAATGTTATAATCAAGGGACTGTTAAAACACTTCCTCAAATACACCTCCCCTCAAAATGTAACCATCTGAAAGATACCCCAAACAAAAAGGGTAACCATATTCTTCACCAGAATTCAGGTATGAGGCTGCACACAAAGAAAGGAACCCAGAAGGCATGACAAAACATTTTTAACTATTTGCACAATATCTTACTAAATTGCCAGTTAAACGGAAGCACCTCATTTGTATATAGTGTTCTTCATATAATAAATCTTTTACATGGGATGGAAGCATAGCTATCACCATCACACAAACTGAGGCACCAAGAGATTAAATGACTTGCTCAAAGCCACCCGTCAGACTGCCAGCCAAACTAGATGTAGACAACAGGTCTCCCAAGTTCCAAAGTCTAATGTTCTATCTAGTAAGCCACACTGCCATAAGCCTGCATTATTTTTGCTGAAAAACTAGAGGTGCACTGATAAAGATCGACTGATCCAATAGCTGATTTACAGGAATGCAACCTGGGAGTTTGGAGAGCAGCCTCCTGACAAAGTCTGTGTGTGTGAGTGTGTGTGGAGGGGAGAAGAGGTGTGGAGGAGGGAAGGAGCATGAGGGGGGCAAATTAAAGCCCCCAAGGTGAGGGAGGGAGGAGGCAGGGGCTGCCCAGCCAGGGCACAGAATGGGACCCTGAGGCCAACAGCAGGATGGAGCCACAAGTGGCTCTTCCAGAGGGTGCAGGAAAGGAGGGGGCAGCTCTCTACCACTGTGCGCACCCCTGAGGAAGGTATGGGGGACACATATCCCCTTGTATGCAGGGCAAGGGTGGGCTGCCTGCTGCATGTTCAGGGTCAGGGGCTGTGCTAGCCTTTTCCCAGTGAGGGGGCTGGGCTCAGATGTACAGGGTGTGCTGCAGTACTAGGAGGGGTGGCTATGGGGAATTTTGGGACAGCTATAGCCCGATACCCCCCCACCAGCACTGACCTGCTTGGGGCACTCTGCTCTGCTGCCTTTCCCTCAGAAGCCCTGCCTTTCCCTTGGAAGCAGGGGTAGTGCTGGGGGGTGCAGATTTGAGGGGCTATAGCTACTCCAAAATTCCCTATAGCCCCCCCCATATCCACCCCTCCCAGTGCTGCCACTGAGAGCTCCATGCAGCTGAGCCTGGCCTGCCCCTGCATGCCCCAAGTGCAGCCCTGGCCCAACTCCCCCACCGGGAAGAGGCTAGCATATTACTTGAAATATTGAAAATAGAAATTCAGACTACAGGCGCAGCCTCTGACCCTTAGCCCACAGCGGGCAACCCGCCCTTGCCCCACGCACAAATCCAGGGGGGCATGTGCCCCCTATGCCTCGGCAGGGGGTGCACGCAGCAGTGGGGAGCCACCCCCCGCGCCCCACGCCCCTGAATGAGCCACCTGTGGCTCCATCCCAATCCCAACCTCGAGGTCACATTCACCACCCTGGCCTGGTAGCACCTACCCAAGCCCCACTTCCTCCCTCCCTCACCATGGGGGCCTCAATCTGCCCCTCCCACAGCCCTTCTCCTTCTCCACACCCCTTCTCTCCCAAAGACTTACCAGCAGGAGGCTGCTGTCCAAACTACCAGGCTGCATTCCTGGCCATATGCATGCTGCAGTTGCACACGGCATGTATTGGTGACACTATCAACCAAAAAAAGCCAACGGCTGATGACGTTAGTTTACCTGTTATCAGTGCCAATCCAATATGTGACTGATATATTGGTGCACCTCTATGAACAATTCTACAGCATAGTAAAAATAAGTAAGTAAATAAATATAAAAATCCACTCCCTAATAACCAGACAACCACAGCAAGACAATGAATTTGGTGAAGTGAAAAGCAAACAAAGAAAAAGAGCAAAGCCATCACAAAAAAAGTGTGTTTTGTTCTGTTACCAGCTGATGGCTAAGTACAGACAGTCAAAAAAGCTCAAGGTTGAATCAGTTGAATCTCTGCAGGTTAGTCCAAGCAGCGTAAATTGAACTGAGAAGCAAATGAACAGACATTCAGTTTTGATTCCAGAAATGTAGTAACATGCCTACAGTGGCTCAGGGCAGAAGCTGGGGGATGCTAGAGCATGCCTCCGTGCTAGCCTGCCCACTGTGGGATGCTAGGGGACTATATGTTAACTTGAATCTGGAGGGGATCTGAGACAGAAGTTCAATAAACTGATTTAACTTAAATCAGTTACGTCTGATACTACATTCATCCAGGTTTATCTTAAACTGGTTTTGGCGACTTTGAAAGTGGTTTATGTGCACTGAATTTCTTGTATGTTATAGATTTGAACGCGTTTCCAATGACTCTCACAAGGTTGTGTGTAATTTCTGTCCCTAGCCATAAAGTTTAGTTGCATCATTTTGTGGTATCCTAGCAAACAAGTTTGATTTCAATAGATATTATAGAAAAGCACTTCTCACAACAGTAACATTAACTAAACCATTTCTAAGAAAAAAATAGGCATATCACAATTATGTGTATGAATTATGGTATTTGTGGATTAGTTTGTTTATGCACACACATAGCTACAAAAAGTTTTAAGACTGTGACTGCTATTATTTTTGTTGTGCCAAAATGATTAAATCATGAGAAAATGAAAAGGCCTATGTTCCAGTTAGACCAAGCCAGAAATATGACTGATACTGCAAAGAAAAATGATAAACAAGGACGTTTTGTACATGCTTCTACTAGAAATAACCAAAGTGAAGAACATTAAAAACCCTATCATTATTGTCCTCGCTTAGAGAGACTGGGAATAAGAACTGGAGTCCAAGTCTTAACTCTTCTCTGCACATTTTTGCAAAGGGAGGATGTAGCTACTCCTGCTGTGCGTCTCTGATTTCTCGGGGTTTACTCAGTTCTGCAGCTAACTCAAAAAACGTTCCCTTTCAAAGAACTAAATCCTAGATTGTTTGGGAAACCTCCTAGTTAAACACATGCTCTCTCCAGGCTCCAGACAGTTCTTTGCCAGCCCTCTCCAGACACTAGGATTTGGTTCCTTTTCCAGAGTTCAATTATTCCTCTTCTCTCCAGTGTGTTTATTGCCAGCACCCCTTGGGGAAGTACAAGGAAATAAAAGTCCTCTCTCCCCGCTAGATTCAGATTCAAGATTTAGACAATGCCTATTCACTCAGCTCACCATGCTTGCTGCATTCCCCTGAGATGCTTCCTGTAGAATCCATGTAGTCAGACTAGGTGCCCTCTTTGCCAGACTAGGTGCTTTTCTATACCCCCACCCTGGTCACAGGAAAGATTATCCAGGGATCTTATGCCACCTGCAGATCTTACTCAATAGTGAGCTTGTTGTTTATCCTTTCTGCCATCCCCTGATGCGTGGACTTTTCTCTCTCTCTCTCCTGGGGTATTACATTTCCCAGGATTCCATTCAACAAAAAGGGTATTGTTTCCCAAAAGGATCCCAAACAATTCCCCTCACTGCTAAAAAGCAGCTCTCTGTGGTGGACCACCACTGATGATCAGGTGCATAACTGGGGCAGAGCACATTACCCAAGAGCAGGGAATGAGAACTTTCACAAAGCATGAGGCAGCACATGCACATAGCAATAGTTTGCCTTAAAAAAAGAATGCATTAAACACTTCAATACTAACAAAGGTTCAGTGCTGCCCAGAACACTGCAAAACTTTGTTTTAGAGGGCTGTGACTTGCCTATTTTTCTTACCTGGCTCTCCAGGTCCCCATCCCAATAGCTGCCTTGTCACTTCACACATTATTCAGCACTTCAACTCAGTCAACCAAAACATCTGTCACTGATACACCCACACCAGCCCACCATGACTAGGTTTCCACCTACTCTATGCCCAGAGTCCGGGGTGGGGAGAAGAATTCAGAGTTGTGGCAGAGAAGGACCTCTGTTACAGAGACTTCTCTTCAGATATCACTCAAAAGACCATACACAATAGGCCAAATGGCATATTACCCAAGAAACACTATGTCAGGATAAGCTGTAATAATTTGCTGATGTCTCAAGATCACCAGATTTTAGCATCTTGAAAGATTACATCAGTAAAACATTTAAAGCATTACAATTTCTATTCAAGTGGGTGCATAAATGAGAATACATCCTCAAGCAACCCAATTTTGCTTAAATACTTCAGCACAGAAGAAAGGCAGAAAATGCATTTTCACATCTCTGTGCTATCAAGATACAAGTTAACAACAAAGAACCTTAACCCTAAAATCTCCTGCTTTGGAACTTTAAAAATAAGAAAAGCCTTCTCAGAGTCCTTCTGTATTCCAAATGTTAGTGGCTAACTGCCTTCAGAAATAAAACAATAAATTCAACCTATTGTTAAGTCCATGACAAAATGTTTCCTGAAAGAAAAGCCATTAAAAAAAAAAGTGTGTGAAAAAACAAAACAAAACAGTACAGTTGTATTGTTATTAAAAAGTGATGTGCCTCACAGGATGGAGTTACTGGACTCTGCATTCACTCACCAAACTAAGAAACATTAATATCTGCACAACTTAAAATTTCCTCAAATATACAGGCAGGATTACCAGCCTCATTCTTACCCCAGAGTTCCCCGGCCTGACATAGGAGGACTCGGTGGTTTTTGTGTAGGCGGATTTGTTCTTGACAAGGTGCCAGTTCTTGCAGGCTGGTTACTTCCATGCTAAAATGAGGGGAAACATTATTTTATTTTATTTTATTTTACCGATACAGCTCTACTATTAACAGTTATTTTGTTGTGTAAGAATATGAAATGAGGATTCCCAGACAGCTGTAAAACAGCAAGTTCTTTTAGCTGCACATGATAAAAGCACCATTAAAAACAAGGATTAAAATTTTAGCATTACATTGTCTTTGCTATTATTTTAAAATGGAGGCACATCTGAAACTTAAGTAACGGAAAGGTAACAATTGATTCACATGCAAAATTCTGTTTCCTTCTTTTCTTTGAAAGAATGTTGCAGCCATGATCATGCCAATTCAAGTGTGATTATTTTAAACAAAAATTTAGGCTAACTGTACAATCTTGTCTGGCTTCGACCAATATTCCTCATCCAGTTTTGCTCAGCAATTTGACTAGCAGTCATGCAGATTGTCTGGGAAACCTCCTATAAAAAATGTAAGTGAATAGAATCAAGGCATCTACTGAATCAGAGCAAAGCACTAACACATGTTAGAGAAATTAATGTAACTAGATATAAATGCAAGTGTCAATATATCACTGATATATTAACACACCTTAGCTAATCGCTGCGAATCTGAACTGAAACACAGCATATTTAAATCTAAAAAACCTATGAAAAGCAGAGCAGTGTAGAAGAGCACTAGTTTTCAGTTTTAATGGTTCTGCAGCCTCTACTATCAAATACAGTGAGGCACTCTGGGTCAAATGAGAAATAACTCTTCTTACCTTGGCTTTTAGCCACTTAACGTTGGCAAAAAAAGGGGGGGAAAAAGTAGAAGTTAATGGCAAATCCATCACAACTGACAGGACAGGTTAAAACTACAGTTAATAACAAAAATTCAATTTCCCTATTGATAATTAACTACTGCATCCCAGATACAATATTTATGTAGGTTCAAGAACAGGCACACAACATAAGCCATAATTAACTGGCACCCTCAAATTGAAATTTTACATTTATCAAAATTAAAAACAAAATCAAACTTTTCTACACTTATTTGCTGCTGCAATAAACAAAGATGCATGGAAGCAAACCTCTTTGTGGCCAGCCAGCCAGACTCCTCCCCACTGCCAATCGTGAGACTGTAAAGCCAGTTTAAATGCGTTTGACTAACATTATCCAACTCCAACACTATGCTTACTAAAAAGTTCCAGTTCACATGCACACTGAACACTATATCACCTAGTGCAGAATATATTCAGTTGGACATTTAATCTCCATGTATTTTGGAAAACTTCTAGCTGCTGCACTGAATGATAGAAGAGATGAAGGGAGTGCTCAGATTGGATTACAAGCAGAGCCATTCACCTCAAGGTTACTGACTGAAATGCAACCTAAATCAGTACTGTAGTACAATTTGCCAGCTCAAAATAATTGATACTGTTAAACAGTCAGGGGTCAGGAGATTCCTAATCTTCACAAGAGTCCTAGTCTTCATGGTTGCAGAGAAAAACATGAAAACATGGCCTCACATTATGCTTAAGGGGCCAGAATCAGAAGATAAATTTGGGGTTTCTTTAATAATTAAAAAACTGATATTTTTGGAAGTCTAATCTAAAAGATAAGCAAGCCAATAACAACAAGAAGTTATCTGTTGAATTTCTGAAAGCAGACTACCATTTTCTGTCCCTAGCATTAACGGTCCCTATTGTGACAAGAAAGTCGCTACCCAAATACAAACTCTTCCTGGTAGTTTCAGGAATAGTCAAGATATAGTAATAACGAAAGCCCTATATGTGGTCCTTGCAGCGTGGACTGAGATTTGTCATCAGAATGAAGTAGTTTATATCAGTGGTTCTCAACCTTTTTTGTATCAGGACCCATCTGTAAACATCAATGG